TTATTTGAAAGAGTATGGATAATGTCCACAGAGAGTTGTGTTGAAATTTGACTGCAATTATGGATTTACTTCTCCCTCCAGTTATATAAGTTTTTGCCTATATATTTTGAAGCTGTTATTTGATGCATACAAGTTTAGGCTTGTCTTTTTAATAAATTGGTTTCTTTATCATGATGCAACATCTTTCTTTGTCACTTATAATATTCCTTGCTCTAAAGCCCAAATGTCCATGGATAGATGAATGGATAAAGAACATGGTGTGTGTGTGTATGTGTGTGTGTGTGTGTGTGTGTGTGTGTGTGGAACATTATTCAGCCATTAAAAAAAGAATAAAATCTTGCCATTTGCACATGTATGGATCTAGAGGGTATAATGCTAAGTGAAATACATCAATCAGATAAAGACAAATACCATATGATTTCACTCGTATGTGGAATTTTAAGAAATAAAACAAAAAACAAGGAAAGAAAGAGATAAAGTAAAAAAAAAAATAGAAGAGAACAAACTAATGGTTACCAGAGTGGAAGGATAGGTGAAATAGATTAAGGAGATTAAAAGTGCACTTATCATGAGCACAAAGTCTTGTATAGAACTGTTGAATCACCATACTGTACACCTGAAAGTAATAAAACACTGTAAAGTATGCTAGAATTAAATTTTTACAATATTTTATTTAAATTCAATTTGCAAACATTTAGTCTTGGCCAACACCCAGTGTTCATCTTGTCAAGTGCCCTCCTTAGTTTTAAATTTTTAAAAAAATACATTCCTTTCTCTAAAATCTATTTGATCTGATATTAAAATAGCCACTCCAGATTTATTTTAATTAATGTTTTCAGAGTATATATTTTTCCATCCACTTACTTTTAACCTGAATATTTGTATTTCTAGCAGGTTTCTTGTATCTGGTATATAGTTGGACCTTGCTTTTTTATCTAGTCTGAAAATTTCTACCTTTTAATTGGAATGTTTATACCATTTACATTTCATGTAATTACTGATATGATTAAGTTTAAATTTACCATCTCACTGTTTTCTACTTTCTCCATCTGTTTTATGTTCATTTTTTTTTCTGCTTTCCCTACATTATTTTGGAATAATGTTTTCCTTTTCCACTATTAGTTTATTACCTACTATCTCTTTTTTGAGTCGTTGCTCCAGAGTCTATACATCTTTAACTTAACACAGTTTACATTCAGATTTATACCTCTCTATACATAGTATAGGAATCTTACATTAATGAATGCATTAAGTGCATTAATGAATCAAATTAATGAAATTTAATTGATTTGATAACATTTGCTTTCTAGTCAATGCTGAAAAAAAGTGCATCTTCATAAGGAAGGATCCTTTCTTTGGGGCCTCTAGAGTAAAGGAAAACAAAGACCATAGGGCACCTGGGTGGCTCAGTCGGTTAAGCATCTACCTGCACCTCAGGATATGATCTCAGGATCCTGGGATGGAGCCCTGCCCTCCATCCAGCTCACTACTCAGCAGGGGGGTCTGTTCAGTCCTCTCCCTCTCCTTCTGACCCTCCCCTCTCTCTCTCAAATAAATAAATAAAATCTTTTTTTTTTTTTTTTAAAAAAGGGAAAACAAAGATGATAAAAAGGGCAAAACCTCTGGGTGCTTACTCCTCTGGAGGCTCTCATCTCCCTACTGGCCTCACCGAACTTGAATGCAGCCACACACTTCTCAGAACAATTCCTTCACCTCTTTCTCACAAGTGTCACTGCTGCTCAGACTTAAAACCATCTTTATGAGGTGAGTGGACAGAAATACAACTAAATTCTTTACTGTGAGGCACAACCATATGGCTTGTGTTTAAAGTAACTCAGCATCTTTCCTTGTGAAAAAGGAACTCTAAGAAGAGCTTATTCTCTCTTCCAGGGGGATTCTTTCCCTGGGAGGATAAAGAAGGGATCTGACTTATGCGGAGGGAAGACAAGGGAAGGGAAAGAAGCTCCCTATCAGGAGAGGCCTGCTCTTCCAAGGCCCTTTTCCTGACCTCATTGCTACCCTTCAACTGCCTCCAGCCCTGCTTCTGCATAACTCCCCGCCCTCCTCTACCTCTCTGTTCTCCCTCTGCTCCCAGCCAGCCTGCCATATGGGACAAGTCTTGGATATCCCTCACTTAGCCTCTGTCTACATTGAGCAAAGCCAAACCCTGAAGCCACGGAGGTTGGGACAAAAGGAACTGAGGTTAGTACATATTTAACCTTCTTCAACAATGTATTTCACTCATCCAAATCTTAAGCTGTGGTTGGTGAGAAAAAATGAGACACAGTACAAATAACATGGAACCTTTTAAGATCACAGCTTAATGGACTTATAGAGAGAATGAGCAAATCTCTTACTCAGAAATTAAATCCACTCAGTGGCTATTAAATCATCCAAGCACCCACATTACCATCTGGCACCATGCCTCTTTCTTTTATCATGGGATAGTATAGATGCTATAAAACAATCAGCAGCCTTTTCTAGAAGGTTTTGCTTAACATTTATTGCTACCCTCGCCTATTTGCCATGCCTGGACCTCAGCCCACAGTCTATTAGAGAATCAAAAGGCCAGGCAAGAAAGGAAATAACTTTTCATGAGTCCATTCCTTCATGTGCCAAGAACTTTATCCTTTGATTCTTGGTGAGATTACCATAAGGTTACCACAAAAAGTCATGACAGTTATTGGAAAACTGCAAGGCAGTAAAATCATAGGTTTATTTATTTGTTCCTGAAAGGGTTAGACCACCTAAATCACTATTTAATTGCAAATTTTGCATCAGAGGTCTTTTTTTTCCTTTTCAAATTCAGGACAGCCAATGATCCTTAGGAAGACAAACGTTGGGGGTCAGGGGAATTTGTGACTTGAAACTTTTTTCAGATTGAACACAAATGCCATCTGTTCTACACCACGATCTTTACTACACCTTCATTTTATGAAATAGGTTCGTGATAAGGCATAGCCCGATCCTCTCCAGAGTGGAGTGCAGATTCCACAAAATGGATGTGACAATCTGTACATTCCTGAATCACTGCACCCCTCTGAAGCTCTGGCTAATTTTCTCCTGCCTGAGTTCCTCAGAAATCTAAATGGCAGTTCTTAAAGGGCAAAAATCACGTCTGACTCAATGATATCCTCCCACCCATTACCATTTTCCATATTTTAAATAATAAATGATTGCAGTGTGAATGAGTGTGTTCAGGCATTAAATTCACACCCATTTATGTAGGTTGTGCTGGGTCTGTCTTATAAAAGCCTGCCATGCCCTAAGAAGAAAGACTGACTTCTGATCCTTAAAGGGACAAGAGAGGATGACCGCTCTGATCAGCTATATGACCCTGGGAAGCATTTTAATACTACAGGTCTCAGTGTCTCCATCTCTTACGTGAAGGGGTGGGACTAGTGGATGTCTTAGATGTGCTTCGGCTCTTTAATTCTGAAAACAGAACACTACAACGTCTTCTACAAGGTCAGTAGGAAAACATCCTTCCGTGACAGTTTCAGCAAGAGCGAGATCGACTATCTATTTAGCTAAGCCACCATCATATTTTATCCCCTGGTTTCAAAACCCACTCCACAGAAACCTAAATTAACCATATTTTTGTAGCACTCTAGTTTTAGGAAAAAGGGGAAATACATTTAGGGATGAGCACAGCTTCCCTTTTATTGTATTCAATCTGCATACATATTCTAGCCCTAGACAGAGAAAATTGGTTGAAAGAAATGGTCCTAAAGCACTGAGAATACTTCAGCTATCAAGGGGAGAGTTAAGATTATGTGAAATTATGATTATGTGAAGTTGATTCCACACTATGTTTAAATTAAGAAGGTCCACATTCAGGGCACCTTGCTGGCTCATTTGGTAGAGCATGGTAGCCTTAATCTTGAGGTTGTGAGTTTGAGCCCCACCTTGGGTATAGAGATTACTAAAACATAATTTATTTTTATTTTTATTTTTTTTCATAAATTTTTTTTAAAGTTCATAATCATGTTAACTTGAAATGACAATTTCCAAATATATAAATTAACTTGTTACATCAGAGTTGGCCTAAAAGTTCTAGAGAGCATTCTCTTATGCCCCCTACCCCCCCAAAAAAAGTATGCTGAATGGCAGTTTTGCCCAGAGATTGTTTTTTTTTAAATAAATTTTTATTTATTTATGATAGTCACACACACAGAGAGAGAGAGAGGCAGAGACACAGGCAGAGGGAGAAGCAGGCTCCATGCACCGGGAGCCCGACGTGGGATTTGATCCCAGGTCTTCAGGATGGCGCCCTGGGCCAAAGGTAGACGCTAAACTGCTGTGCCACCCAGGGATCCCTTGCCCAGAGATTGTACCTACTGGGAAAAAAAGGAGCTGCCATTCATTGAGCACTTTTCACATTTCAAGGACTGGCCCAACTGTTCCATATAATAGTAAAATAAAGGTTTTAATAGTCAATTTTCAATGCCATGGAGAGAACTGGAAGTCTCTTATTTCACAGAGCCCAAGCTACACCTTAAGATTTATTTCTTTTTTTTTTAAAGATTTTATTTATTTATTCATAGAGACACAGAGAGAGAGGGGGGCAGGCGAACAGGCAGAGGGAGAAGCAGGCTCCATGCAGGGAGCCCGATGTGGGACTCGATTCAGGGTCCCCAGGATCACACCCCAGGCTGCAGGCGGCGCTAAACCACTGCGCCACCAGGGCTGCCCAAGATTTATTTCACTCAGAATTTTTTCCCATCTTTCCTGAACATCGGGGGTGACATCTAGCCTTAGCACATCCTCCAGTACCTTCCCTGCACCTTCTTACAGTTCTGAACCGTGGCTGAAAAACCCTATGAGTTATATTTCTCTTTTGTTTTCAACTCAGAGCCCCTGATTTCAAGTTGATAAATGAAGAGAGATAAGCAAAAAAGGAAGCTATACTTTTTTAAAGAAGAAAAAAAGTAAAAAGAAGGGTGAACAACAACAGAAAAAAAAATCACATACTTCAACACCTTATAAGCATCTTCATGAGCCCAGGAATCTTTTAATTCAAACAAAATTACTTAACATCCATGATTTGAGAGGCATTTAATAAACATAAAAACATTTATATGATTACAATTTGTATTTTTCAGTAATATACATCATCCTTGGACCTTTCTACTCTACTATTTCTTATACAGTAAATTCCTCTACTTAGCACCTCACCTGATAAAATTGATGTTCATTTCTCAAAAGGGCTTGCTAAATATTCCTAAGGCTTGCCACAAACCTGGACCAGAGGAAACGATTATTTTCCTACATTCTAATTATGAGTATTCAGCCCCTCCCTCAGCCCAGTGTCTAAGCATCCACACTAGGGTGACCCTTCCACCGAGGCTGCAAATTCTAATGCATACTCGCTGATCAGTCCCCATTCTTAGCAGGCTCTGTGGGCCCACAGCCTCCTACTGTTGCAAGGAAACTGGAATGTAGAGACCTAATTTTGAAATTTTGGAAACATCCAATGTGAAAGAAAGAAAGAAAGAAAGAAAAGAAAGTCAAACTATGTGTGAATCCCTGTCTGAGCAAACAAAACAGGTTTTCTGCTCAGCCCACACCTCTGGTGGCAGCTTTCAGCCTGTGCCCTCAGGAACTTGGAGGACTGATGTTCAGGTTGCCCCTAGGAAGTGTCTTTCTGAGTAGATCCCGAGGACCGCCACGAAGAAATTCCAGAAAAGTTGCCAAGCACTTCCAGAAATGCTTCAGTGTCATTGTAAATGTCATGTCCAGGCGAGCAACTTATGATCTTGCTCAGTCGTTTCCCTTTGATACTCTCTCGTTATTTGGCTATTTCCACAGGTTTCTGAGAATATCAGAGTGGGCAGCGTCTACTGTAAAACACTTTTCTACTCTCTCAGTAGCCAACCAGAGTCATGTCTTTCTCTTTGTGGTCATGAAAACCCAACCTTCAGTAAACCCCACACCAGTTTTCTGGGATATCTGACAGGGATTCTGGAACTTTCAGGAAGCCAGAGGAGCTGAGACAGTGCACAAATATGAAATGGGTTAATGCCTCCTTGTGACTTCGGTAATATGAAGAGAGGGCTCCTCTATTAAAAGTCCACTTGATCATCTCATATCTTTCATAATTAACAGAGGAAAAGAAAAGTGTGACTGGGTTTTAAGGAGTAGACTTACTCGGGGTCCATGCAGCTTCAGAATTTCTGAAGATCTGCTGATTTGTATGGACCTAAGTAAAAAGAGTACCTTTAATAAATTCTCTAAGCACTGCCCTCGACTGAAAACTTTCCCAACTGCAGAGCTGTCAGACACTGATCACCCAAAGAAGAAAATATATAGGGAATTTCTGCACTTTCTAGAAGGAATAGATAGGTTGCAGACAGATGCCTCTGTATGGAGAAGAGCCTTGTGGAAGCTTCAACAGGAGATCAGGAGAGAGACTCTGGGAGAGTAGAGTACAAAATAAGTAGCTGCCTCACAGCATCTCCAGGCCAGCTGTCAAAACACAAGTGGTCTCCAGTTACATATACACGGTGGAGCTTTAAAAGTTACAGGTTCAGCAGCTTGATGGTGTTCAACAGTCGTGTGGGAGCTTTGCTCCTTTTTTATCTGGTTTCTTTAAAAGAGAAATGGAATGAGGGCCTTCCGAGATTTGGGGTAGTCCTCAAACATCTTGAGGTAGAACCTAAAAGACAAGACAGGAATAATTAGAACAAGCAGCAATCAACAGTTATGGTTTGCTGGGTCTGAAATTCTTGTTCCAAACCAACCTACAGTTACTCAGGGCCTCACTCTTGCAGAAGATACCCATTTGTCCACCTCCTTTCTCCCTCCTGCATCCTCTCCTATAAATGTTGAAGCTTCTTATGATGGGAAATAACAAATAATAGCCAGAGGACACTGACAGTGGTTGCACAGCTTTATGGATGTACCTAATGCCACTGAATGGTAGACCGAAAATGGCCGAGACAGAAGATTTTAAGTTATGTGTATTTTACCACAATATAAAAGGGGAAAAGCCAGAAAAAACTGCTCAATGAATTCAATTGGGAAATAAGGGACCAGAGACCCCAAAGACCGTGGGCAAAGTTAATCCTAGAGAACTGGTAATGTTCCCAGGAAAATGTCCCCTCATGAGGCCTGGGAATGCCAAGAAAATATAACCTCATATTCTGGGTTGAATTATGATCCCCCCACCCCCAATATATGATTGAAGTCTTAACCTGGAGGACTTACCTGGAAACAGGGTCATGGCAGATATAATTTAAGGCAAGACAAGGAGTAGGAAAGGCCCTTAATCCAATTTGGCTGAAGGGGACAGGAAACACCAGGACTGAGACAGACAGGGGAAGAGGCCATGTGGAGAGGAAGGCAGACACTGGGGATGGCGCTATAGACCATGGAACACCTCGGATTGCAGGTGCAACCAGAAGCCAAGAAGAGGCAAAGGAAGGATCCTCACCAAGAACCTTCAGAGAGAACGTGGCCCTACATACACTTTGATTTCACACCTCTGCCTCAGGACCTGTGAGAGAATATATTTCTATTGTTTAAGCCACTCAGTTTGTGGTCATCTGCTTTGGCAGGCCTGGAACATTCATATGTGTTGTGAAATGGCTTTCACCTTCAGTGGTCAGGCTGCCCTAGCTAGTTGAAGCTAGTAGCTAAGTTTCTGTTAAAGTACCTTAATTTGAACTGGAGGACAAACAGTAATAGTACGTGACAAGAGGTGGCTGGGTTTGCGTGCTATGATTAGAGAGGTCTGATGAGTAGTTTCTCACAGAGCCTAGTTAGGCCTGTGGAAAGCTGCCCTCTGGCCCTCCCTCCGGAGCAGTCTGACCTAACAGGACAGGGCCAGGCTCCGGATTTTGTTGTCACACCAGCTTGAAACCTCTGGTGGAGATGCTACCCCTCCCCTGAGCACTAGCTGATGCCCTCTCTGCCTCTCTCTCTTTCCGCCCCCAGTGGGCGACAGACTGGGCCTCAAGACAGGAAGGAGAACGTGGACTGTCTTACAGGCTGGAGACTCTGCAGTCTGTCCCCACCAAGTCTAGGCAGTCACGAGGACAGCAACTGTTTCATTCACCTCTGACACATCTGCATGAATTCCACACTGTGGAAAATAACCCATTCTCGGTTTAACCTTCAAAACTACGAAATTAATCATTAGCCCAAATAAAACACCCATGCAGGAGCTAAAGGGGTCCCCCAGGTCCCGGTTCCAAGGCTGTTCCCCCTTTAGTTATCCCTCCCTCTCTCTGTGTCTCTCCAGCTGCAAATGCCATTTTAGAGAAAGGATCTGAAGTTCAAGTTCAAAGCCCAATAACAACTTAGAACAGTTTCCCTTGCAGGGATACCTGCAGATACTGCTTTTGTCCCCACCCAACCCAGCGACAGGGTTTGGGAGGGAGGTGGAAGTTAGTAAGGCTTTAGGCTAGACCTACAGAAGAGAGGCTCTAAACCCCTACAATTCCTGGCATTCCCCAGGTGAGGAGACAGTCCTGAAATCACACCGCATTAGGATTCACTCATCCTACCTTCCCAGGAAGCCAGCAATGACCTTGGCTATGATTTATGGAGGGTTGGGGTAGGGAACAAAAGGGAGTACCAAAATAAGCCCTGGTATTACACAGATTCTAGGAAAATAATCCTGGAGTTTCCAGGGCTCTCCGATTACCTGAACTATTAGCACCAAACCTAGAATTAAAGATAATAGCCGGGGATCCCTGGGTGGCGCAGCGGTTTGGCGCCTGCCTTTGGCCCAGGGCGCGATCCTGGAGACCTGGGATCGAATCCCACATCGGGCTCCCGGTGCATGGAGCCTGCTTCTCCCTCTGCCTGTGTCTCTGCGCCTCTCTCTCTCTCTGTATGACTATCGTAAATTAAAAAAAAAAAAAAAACAAAGATAATAGCCATACTAGACTAGACCAGGGGCTAGGCTTTTCCCTCGTAGTACTGTCTCCTGGCTGACCTCAGGATTATCTGTGAAGCAGTGGAAAGTGCTGCCCATGGAACACACTTTGAGAAATCTGGCAGAAGTGTCACCCAGCTAAATCCCAAGTTCAGTGAAAGCCTTCTTTGGTAAGGTGGCAGGTGGCTTCCCAAGTCACCTCAGGCACGCCTCTCCCTACATGGGTTTTGTTTTGCTCATAGGAAAAAAAATGTTTATAATACTGATACCCAGCTAAATCCCAAGTTCAGTGAAAGCCCAGGAAGTCAGAATTTACCAGTGTGGATTACTATATCAACCTTCCCTTATAAAAATACATGTCTTAGGTTTCCATATCTGACTCCAAGAGCTAAAAGACTGAAGAAAAAAGCTACTTGACTGCTGCCATCCTAATTGGAAAGTTTACCTATGGTGGTGAAAAGCTCGCAGACCCAGGAAGCAAAGTGAGAAAAACGCAAATGCAAGTGCTGGGAGGGACCAAGTAGCCAGGGCATAGCCGATCCATTCAATGATCTCACCAAGGAAATTGGCTCCAGAAACATATGTAAACAAGCCACCTGTGTGCAAAAGAATGAAAAAGTCAATTTTCGGAACTGGATCACTGCCACATTAAAACTCCTCTGTTTTGTTCCAAAATACATAAAGGCAGTTATGACAAATAACTCTTGGGGAAAATGGAAAAAGTGACAACAGCCTGTTGCCCTCAGAACATCCTGGAATCATGAGTAGCCCCCACTGCTGCTTGACGGGCTCCAGCCAATCTCTAGCAACTGCTGTACCACTGGCTCCGGACAAGTCCAAGATGAGGGGCAGTAGACCTGATTTTGGTTTTGTTCTATTAAATAATGTTTCCAAGCCATCCCTCACCTTCTCATTTCTCCCCTGGACACCCATACAGCCTATTTCATGTTGGCACTCAGACAAAACGAAAAACACACTATGTAGCAATAATAAATATCTGAGTTGATGCTAGAAGTTATAAGATTTTCCTTTGCCATTTGCCCTCCCACCCCTGCAAAGGAGTGTGTATACTCTGTTCAACTTTAAAGAAGTGAGTGGGAGCTGTGAGGGCTGGTGAGGTCTGCTTCTGCTGATTTTCAAGATTTACTTTTCTATCGAAACATATATGTCTGATATCAAACCTATAAGTAAAAATCAACATATTTCCAATGATAGTAAATATATCCACTTTCTGCCCCACATTCAACTAAATTATTTCTTTCCATACTTATATAAAGAATATGTTGTTTTTAAATCATTCTGTAACCTATCTTAATAGTTGGAAATTAACTTTGACAATCTAGCTTTTAAGAGAATTTTAAGAGAATTCTCCACTCTTTTTTGTTTAGCTAGTTATTGAGTGAATATTTAAAATCCCAAAGCCCCTTAAAGTTATATTCCTTAAAGATGACACTGCCTCAGCAGTTCTAGACCTGTGATTTGCCAGGCCCTGGGAGAAACCACTGAACTCCCGCAGAGGGTCTATAAATTGCCTGTGGTATATGGGTCTATAATTGCAAATGGTATATCTTAATATATGCTATTATTTTTGGTTGATGTAGACACCAAGAGGATGTCAGCAACATTTAAATTCATTTAAATGTGTTACTGAGTTCATTGTAGCTCTGCTTTATTAATAAATGAATACTAATACCATATTGTAATTTAGGAACAATTTTGATGCAAATAATAGGTTCTATTTACATCAAAAAGGAGGAGAGCCATTAGCCTACACAAATACCACCTAAAATAGCAAAGGATTACTTGGACTAATTCACTCTCACCTCATGTTTGTCAACCTCACACCCTGGTTTCCTGGGAACAGTTAGGGTTTCAAATATGTAGTTATGGCAGGAAATATACACAGAACTGCCTGAGTACTCACTAGATAAATCCAGGTCAACTGGAGAAGACAAGTCATACACAAATCAGCTTTATTGGCTAACTCGAGAAGGACTAACACTCTGCACACATGATGCTTAATTTTCTTTGTTAACCTGACTGGGCTATAGTATGCCTTAGATATTTGATGAAACATTATTTCTGGGTATGTCCATGAAGGCGTTCCTGGATAAGATTAATATGTGAATCTACTCCTTGACTGAGACAGATTACCCTCCCTGAAGTGGGTGGGCCTCATCCAATCCACTAAAGGCCTAGATAGAACAAAGAAGCCAGGTAAAGGATAATTCACTCTCTCTGCCGGACTGTCTTCAAGCTGGGACATCAGTCTTCTCCTGCACACAGACTAGAACTTATACCACCCACTCACTCCCCTGGGTCTTGCTGATGACAGACCATGGGATTTCTCAGCTTCCATAATCATGTGAGCCAACTCCTCAGAATAAATCTCTTTATGAATCCGTATCTGTGTCTGTATCTATAGCCTATTGGTTCTGTTTCTCTGGAGAAGCCTAATACAGCACATGATAACCTTACCTACTGTAACGAGGTGGCAGTCTATTTCCACCTTACCCCAAACCTCGCACTTCCCCATTTTTAAGGCATTATGATGTCACAACCTCCTAAGGGTGGCTCTATCTTCCTTGAACTTCTAGGTTCAGATCAGAAACGCAAAGGTATCGTGGGGTGAGAAGGGATATGAAGGAGAAGTCAGGGGCAAATTGGGATATACTGTATCATTTTTGCCCCCTCTCCATTTACTATTTATAACATAATCTAGGACAGGCTCTCAAGGAAGTGGAAATCTGAAGGGCAGAGGAGATATTACCTTGTGGAATCCTGTAGATGACTTCTCCAGGCTTCCTGAGCTGGCGCAATATATAGTCACTATGAATGTTGATTCCCATTCCCAAAATAAATAAGAAGATACCTTGGCAAAGAAGACAGAGGGAAGAAGTTAAAAATATATCCGGGTTTTGGTGCTTTTTTCTCACAAGCTAAGTTTTTTTTTTCTAAAAATAAAGAGAAGTGCATTTTATTTCAAATTCTGAGAATGCTACGAATATATAACAAAGGGTGACCAATTAGCCATTGTCCCAAATTTGGGTAGAGAGGCCACAGTGTTTCATAGACCAAAAGACTGACAATATACAGTGTCACATGATGGAGGTAGGTGGGAGAAAAGAGAAAGGGACTAACACCATTGTCCAATACTTGAATGAATGAATGAACGAACGAACGAACAAATAAATAAATAAATAAATAGCAAACTTTTGGTTCATTCATAAATAATTAAATTGTGGTTGGCAAACTCAACTGCTAATTCTAAACCCTTCTCCTTTGCTTCCCCCACTAAAGAGGCTGGAAGTCTGAAAAGTGGTCATGTGACCTATTTCTGCCACAAGGATATAAAGAGAAATGAATGTTCTTGGGGTTTCCTTGGAAATTGTTTTGCTTTTCTGAAAAAAGGGCGGATGGGACCAGTGTCTCTACTTCCTCCCTCCTCTTTCATTGCCAGATGCGATGCCTTGAGCTATAGTAATGGTCTTGCTTGCAATCACGAAGTGATATGATTAGGATGACAGGTAAACATGTTAAGACCAGTGGAACAGGAAGTATAGAAAGTTCCTGGGAACTTAATATCTGTAAGCAATTAAAGGAATCCAGAAGCTGTCTACCTTTGGACATCTTGTTATATAAGAAATATAAAATTCTTATTTAAGTCACCATGAACTGGTTTTCTGTGACTCACTGCTGAGAGCATTCCCAATTAATATACTCATTCTCATGAAAGTAACATGAGCCAGATTGGGGAGCTTGGCACCTCGCAAACTGGTTTCCACCACTGCCAGTTCATACACACATTCTTGTTCTTCCATTCATTGGTTCAGAAAGAAGCCCTGGTCTGACGTGAGGAGAACCAGGATTAGGGATGCTAGGGCTTGTACCTCAACGGGCACCTTATAGTCCAGAAACCCTCACTGTTCTGCATAGATGCCCAACTTCACCTCTCAACAATGTTGTTTGTGCTGATCAAAATACAGGAGGCAAAAAGCAAGAAAACTTGAATTAAAAACAGATCTACTCTCACATCATTTGCTGTGATAGGAAAAAAACAATGATTTGCAATCTTGTCTAGTCCAAAGATCATTGGCCGTTTATGGTGACAGATGCTGACTACACTTTTCTTGGTCTGCACTGAATAATATATAGAATTGTTGAATCACTACGTTATGCATCTGAAATTAATATTCAACCATACTTCAATAGTAAATTTTTAAAAATTATTGTTCTGGAAGAAAGGGAAACTGGAGAAAGACCCCAATGGCAGGAGGTTGAAAGAAGGAGGAGAGAGAGCGTGCACCGATGTGGACAAAGTGGAAACCTTGGATTCATTTTCTGTGTGTCCTCAGCAAGTCACTGGCCCTCCCTCAGCCTCAGTTTTCTCATCTGTAAAATGTGGATTTGAATAATACCTATTTCACAAGGATGAGACAAGACTCACTCATGTGTTCATTCATTCATTCATTCAACTAACATTTATGGAGAGCTTACAATAGACCAAGCAATATCCTAAACACCAAGGATACAGTTGTGGGAAAACAGTCAAGGTCTGTCCTCATAGACCTCATATTTTAGCAGAAGAAGACAGAGATGAATTCAAATAATTAAAACATTTTAAATCATCGAATGTCACTGCAAAGCAGAAAATCATAGGATCATGAGATAGAGAGTGAGCTGGGGAGGAGAGGAGGTGTCTCTACTTTAGATGAGGTGGATAGGGAAAACTTTTCTGAAGATTTGACATTTTGTCCTATGATTTGAATAAGAAGAACTCACAGATCTGAGGGAGAGCAATCTAGTATAGGAATTAGCAGGTGCAAAGGCCCTAAGGCTAGAATAGGTTTACTACATCTAAAAATGGAAGGAAGGCTGGTGCAGTTGAAACTTTTAGAGGAAAAAGTGAGAAAATGTGGACAGAATGATAACTACAAAAACACACTAAGCATTACAAGCCTTGGTGAGAAATTTGGATTGGTAAGTGCAAGAGAAAGCTACTGGCATGTCTGAAGCAGGAGAGAAATAGGAACTGATTTCCATTTATGATTGTTATGAAAGAAGTAAATATGTTATGTGGATTAGAAAAAATAAGGAAACCAAGACAGCTTATACCCAACACCCAGAAATCACAACCATTAAGCACCTTAATGCATACTCTTCCAGATTTTCATTCTATGTAATTATCTAAGCCATATTTCAAATTCCCCAGATAGCCTAAAAATGCTTCTTACAGCTAATTTGTGAAAACCAAAGTCCAGGATAGGACCACACCTGGGCATCTGGTCATTATCTCTTTTCAGGCCATTTTAATCTTGCCCAAACCCTTTTTTTTAAAAGATTTATTTACTTATTTTGGGGGTGGGGGATGCACATGTGTGCACAGGGTAGGGGGGCAGAGGGAGAGAATCTTCGAGCAGACTCCTCACTGAGTATAGAGCCCAACGCTGGGCTACATCTCATGACCTGTGCAATCATGACCTAAGCCAAAACCAAGAGTCAGATGCTCAACCAACTGAGCCACCCAGGCGTCCAATCCTTACCTTTTAAAAAATTGTTCAGGGCACTGACTTCTTGAAAAGACCAGACAGTTGTACCTCAGAATGTCCCCCTTTCTAGATAAGACTGGCTCACTTTCTGAGAGTGGCATTCAATTTATTTCTTCATTCTCTTTATTTCCTGTAAACTGGCATAAATCATTTCCCATAAATCATTTCCAACAGGAAATGATGTTGAAATGATGTTGAAATGATTCAACATACAGTTAGGTACATTTCTTTGTTTGTTCTCAATGTTAGGGAAGTTTCTTCTATTTAGATTTTTTAAAAAGTTTTATTTATTTCATCTCTACACCCAATCTGGGGCTCAAACTCAGGATCCCAAGAGCAAGAGTTGCTCACTCCACCAACTGAGCCAGCCAGGGTCCCCCATTTAGATTTTTGTTTCTAACTAAATTATAAATTTTCATGATTTAAAGGGCAAAACTATATTGAAAGAAAAGCTCTGCCTCCCATCCCATTCTTTTTCCCCCAGACCCTACATGTCACCTTTTTAAAATTAGTCTCTATATTTAAAAAAAAAAGATTTTATTTATTTATTTGACAGAGAGAGAGAGAGAGAACACAAGCAGGGGGAGTGGCAGAGGGAGAGAAACAGGTTCTGACCTGAGCAGGGAGCCCGATGAGGGCCTCGACTCCAGAACCCTGGGAGCATGACCTGAGCCCCCCAAGCACTCCAATTAGTTTCTTTTTTTTATCAACCCAATATTCCTTTTTCCAGTTTTACACACACACACACACACACACACACACACATACTTCCTTTCATCATTTTTACATGAAAAGTAGCATACTAGATACACTGTTCACACTTTTTTTTTTTTTTTAAATTTAACCACATAGTCTAGAGATGTCTCACAGGAGCACATAAAGATCTTCCTTGGTTTGGTTTGGTTTGTTTCTGTGGCTCCAGAACACTCCACTGTGTGCATGGATCAGCATTCATACAACCAATCCTCCAGTCTTTTGTATTTTCAGACGTTCACTGGGACTGCTGTATGGAGCAAGGACTATATCAAAGGCCAGGGCCAGTGGCAGGAAGCTGTGAAGGTCACTGTGGCAGTCCCAGCAAGAGATCATGATGGTTCGGACCAGGATGATGTCAGAGCAATAAGGGAGAAGGGAGAAGGGAATTCAGTCGGCACATGTTATGGAGCTAGATGCAGCTGTACTAAGCTGATAGGTAAAACTTGATGTGTGATGTAAAAGAGTTAAGAATTAAGGCTAATCCCTGCATTTTGGTTTAAGCCAAAATAATGTGCAAACAATTGAACCTTTCTGACTTGAGTTCCTCTTGCAGATAATAAAAAAGAAAATTCAACAGTGTTTTCTACTATTTTAGATAAAATGGTCAGGAAGTCTCTTCGAGGAGGTACAAATTGATAGAGACCTAAATAAAGTGAGGGACCAACCTCCATGAGTATATGTGGACAGAACATTCTAGAGAGAGGGAACAGTCTGTGTAAAAGCTCTGAGGCAGGACCAGCTTGACTGTTTCAGGCCTAGCAGGAAAGCCACTGAGGCTCCAGCATAGTAATTGGATGAAGGTAGGAAATGGGGTCGGGAAATCAAAGCGGGACCAACAACATTTGGGCGTCACAGGCTCAGGCAGTATAAGGAATTTGTATTTTGTTCCAAGAGTAACAGAAGTGCTCTAGAGGATTCTCAGGTGCCGAGTGACATGTTTTTCAAAGAGCTCTCTGGCTGCTTTATAGAACAAAGACCCAGGTGGCAGGAGGAAAGAGGAGAATGGAATTCACTAGGGGGTTATTGCAGTAGTGTGGGGAAAGGTGATGGGGATTTAGGCTGTGGGAAGTGGTATTCACTGCGGTGTGGGTAAGAAGTGGCCAGGTTTACTTACCCAGGCTAAACCGTACGTCCATGTACCACTCAGCAGGGTACTCAGCACAGTAAATCAGATAGTAGCCTTGGAGAAGTCCATTTCCCGCACAGAAGATAAATCCTCTGACCAGGAATACAACTGGAAAAGGCCTCCCTCTAGTGAGCAATGAGTAAATAAATGTCCTGGAGACAGGAAAGAACGGTCAGGATACAGAGTTTAAAAAAAAAAAAAAATCAAACAATGAGATGAAACAACAGACAACTGCATCAAACCCATTTTAAAAAATAATTTTCCCTTGAATTTATGCAAAAAAGAACATTATTATTCCATTCTAGAGCACTTATGCTATTATTTGTCTTGCTTCATTAAAATCCTTAGTAGTCACCATTTATTACCTTATTTTATTCTCCAACCAGCCTTGAAAGGTAAATTTCATCTCCATTCACTAGTTAATAAATTCAATCCTATGAGCCCAGGATTGGAGCTGAGCTTTATATCAATCTACAAACGAAACCCAGATGACAAAGGAGAAAGAGAGCGCCTGGCTTGCCCCTGCAGCAGTGAGATGACATTTTGATAGCAGCCATTCAATCATACGGCTTTCTATTTGTTGCTCTGATATGATTTAATTACCAATATTGTAGCATTTCCTAGGAAGTGGACCACAGAATCTCTCGAGAAAAGAGATTCCTCTAATTGTTAGGAAGCATGAATCTAAAGGAATCTAGGAAAATGGGATTAAAAATATATAAACAGCCTCAAAATAAGAATTTGCCCAAGATATAATGCTAAATACTAGACATCAACTACATCTTCTTTATCATTTTTCTTCTTTTATGGTACAATATAATAATCATACAGGTGAGTTCATAAACCTATGTGAATAGTTGAATGCATAACTATTAATTAAGCACCTATATAGTCACTAGGCAGGTTAAGAAATAGAACATTCCCTTCACCCTGAAGCCTCCCTCCCTATTCACCACACCACCAACACCCAAGAAGTAACCACCATCCTGATTTTTGTAATAATCTCTTCCTTTTGCTTCTTTACAATTTTACCACATTTGGATGCATCCCTAAAAATGTATTTTGTTTATTTTAATTCCATATTAATGGAGTCATATTCTGATTCTTAGAGTATCTATTAATCTCTTACTTCTATAATTTATCCTATTTCTCAGACTCAAGCATGTTGTTGTATATAAGCTATAGTTCATATATTTTCATTGTTATGTATGAATATTCCCATGTGTTTATCTATTTTATTTTAATGGATTTTGGGTTGCTTCCAAAGTCTTGTAACCACTCAGAGCTGTTTTCCCATTATTTAATGATTTTACATTTTCTGTTTAAACCTTTGATACATCTGGGATTTCTTTTGTTGCAAGAAGTTAGACAAGAATCAAACTCAATATCTTTCCTAATGCTTGTAAATTTATTAAATTTTTTTCTTTCATTGACATGCACTCCCATTGGTATTATATACTACATCATCATAAAAATTGATTCTTTTTCTGGACATTTGATTCTGTTCCATTGATCTGTTTATTGCCAATACTAGACTGTTTTAATAATTATACTTTTAATATATGTCAATACTAGGTGGGGCTACTTTTTTAAGCAAATTTTACTCCCAACGTCGGGTTCTAACTCATGACCCCAAGATCAAGAGCTGCATGCCCTACTGACTGAGCCAGCCAGACCTGGGAGGGTGGGAAAGGGGCTATTCTTATATAATTACTGTTTTTCAGGATTTTCAACTTAGTCTTAATTATTTATTTCTTCATATGAACTTTAAAACTAACTCATGGAACACCCCCTCCCAAATTTTAGAAATACTCTTAAATGTAAAAGTTAATTAAAGTAGTGAAATAGCAAGAGGACCTCCAAGAGCTCACACCTCCATAAAAGCAAAGAAACAACTGGCAAAAAATATATATATCTATCAGAAATATATAAATGTGTATCAGAATATACATATACATGTATATATATGTATACACATATATATTGTATGCATATATACATATATACAGTATACTATATATATGTATGTATGTATCTGATATATATGAAACAACCCAAAAAATGAAACAACCCAAAAAATGAAACAATCCAAACGTCCCTTAGTTGATGAATGGATAAACAAAATGTTGAATATCTGTACACGCACATATTATTACACCACAAGAAGGAATAAAGTAGTGACATATGCAACAACATGGATGAATCTTAAAAACAACACCCTACGCAAAAGAAGCCAGTCACAAAAGTCTATGTCTTATATGACTCCATCCATATAAAGTGTCCTGAATAGGCAAATCCTTAGAGGCAGAAAGTGGAAGGTGGCTGCCAGGGGCTGGGGGTTGAGGGATGGGAAACTGACTGCTACCAGGCACAGGATCTCTTTCCAGGCTGATGAAAGTTTTCCAGAATCAGATAACAGCGAAGGTTGCACAATTTTCTGGATACTAAAAACCACTTAATTCTACTCTTTAGAATGGTATGAGTTTTATGGTATGTGAATTCACCTCATACCTCAATTATACCTCAATATTTAAGCTAATTAAAAGAAAATTCCAGCCATGGTGCACTCTGTGGTTAAGTTGTGGGGCTTCTTCCCCTGACTAGCTGTATGGCCCTGGCACCTAACCTCACTCACTATGTCTATCTCTTCATCCACCCGTCTCGTACGGTTGTGAGGATGAAGTGAGCCAAAATATGCAAAGTTCTTAGAATGGAATAAATAATAAGGGCTCAGTAAATGTACTGTTTTTGATAATAATATGTTTATTAGACATTACCTTTCTATTCAGGTACGAGTGGTCCCTTTGTACTCACTCAGGTCTTTTTTTGTACTCTCAGTACATTTTTAAGTTTCTTCACATAGATTTTGTACAGTTTTTGCTATGTTTCATCCCCAATTTTTAAAATCTCTTTTTGTGTGACTATAAATGGGATTTTCCACTTACCTCTACTAACTGGTTGTTTTACATATAGAAGAAAGCCTTCAATTTTTCTAATATTAATATGTTAATTTTGTTCCCAACCACATCCCAAATTCCTTACTATTTATAATAGTTTTTCAGTTTATTTTCCAAGATGTCCCAGGTATATCAGCATCTGCAAATAATGTTAGATTCCTGTCTTTAAAGGACCCTGGAAGCCTTTTCTCTCTCTCTCTCTCTCTCTCTCTCTCTCTCTCTCTCTCTCCCTTGCTGTCTCTCTCTCTCTCTCTCTCTCTCCTCCTCTTCTTCCTCCTCCTCAAAAAGGTGGGGAGCACCTGTTAAGTGCTCAGTTAAGCTTCCAATTCTAACTATTGATTTTGGCTCAGGTCATGATCTCAGGGTTGTGAGGTCAAGTCCCGCATCAGGCTCTGTGCTCAGTGCAGAGTCTGCTTGAAATTATCTCCCTCTGGCCTTCTCCTGGCTTGTGCTCTTTCTCTCTATCTTTCTCTAAAATAGATCAATAAAGTAAAAAAACAAAAGATTAAGATTTTCAGTGTAAAAGAAAAGGATACAAATATAAAATCAAAGAAAATGTAATGTTAAATTTGAATTGGAAATAGGAATATGAATTCATGACTTTTAATACGGACCCACTCAAAGACCTAGGAGTAATGACACACCAGTAGCAATAAGCACTGGGTCTTCATTTGTAACTAGTCTTCTCCAAAGGAAGCAGGCCACCAAGGAGAAATAGCTCAATCCATGTCAGAGACAGGAAAAGTACAAGGTGAGACATTTTTTGGTGTTGGAAAGTAAGGAAATAATCCAAGATTAAAAGGGGGGGATAGGAAGGGGCCTCCAGGTGGCTCAGTAAGTTAAGCAACTGACTCTTGCTTTTGGCTCAGGTCATGATCTCAGAGTCCTGGGATTGAGCCCCACATCAGGCACCATGCTCAGTGTGGAGTCTGCTTGTCTCTCTCCCTCCTTTCCTCTCCCTATCCACCCCTGCACTCTCTCTCTCATAAATAAATAAAATCTTTAAAAATAAATAAGTAAATAATAAAAAGGGAGGACGGGGGTTGTCAAAATTACATAGGTGCCAACTGGGTATCAAATTTGTGACAAACTGGGTATCAAAAAGAATCATGACAACAGTTGATTGTAAACATCTGTAAACTGCTGGTAAAGGTTAACCTTTACTATCTCGTTAGATTCCTGTAAAAATTAAATATGATTATACAAGGAAAAGTGCCAGACACAGGATAATTTGTTTCTCTTTCCATTCACAACCTATGAAGCCTTGAGGACTGGAAGGTGGCTTTAGTTCCTATAGGGAAAGGGTCCTGGAAGGCTACAGAAAGGCTATTTTTAAAATGGTGTTTGCATCCCAATGTGGCCTTGTCAGTGCCAACAATGCCCCCAAACTGGTCCTTACATGAAACCACAATTCCAAATCAAATTATGTATCTGCCCTACCCCTAACTTCTGGACTTTTCAAGTCTAAGGCACAGGCTAATCCAAAAGAGTGTGTAATAATCAGAACAGGCTCACGGCTACAATAAACAACTCTAAAGTATCAGAGTTTTCAAAAAATAAAAGTTCATTTCTTGCTCATGCCACAGCGCAATGCTGTTCAGGAGAGGTGCTCTGCTCCACAATCAAGCAGGACTCAGACTCTTCCAGGGCAACTTCCTCCTCTGATCTGCAGACAAACAGAGAGAGTGTGGAGAAGTGTGTGCAGGTTTTCCCAAGGGCCAGGCCACAAGCTGGAAATTGAATATATTACTTCCACCCTCACTCCTCTACCCATCCACCCCACCCACGCACCACCAGCTGCAAGGGAGGCTGGGAAACATAGCCTCGCTGGATTTTCCAGCAGGAAAAGGAAAAGAGAGTTGGTGAAACAGAGCACAAGCAATAGGCTCTGGAAAGCCAGGAGCCCTGGAGAACAAATAAAATCCTTCTGATCAGAATGACTATGCTGCTGGAAAGCTGGAAGCATCTCAAAAAAAAAAAATTCAATGTAGAAAGTGATAAGAACAATGAAGAGAAAAGAAAAGAGAGTCAAATAGCCCAAGAGGTTGACAAATGGAGGGTTGCTGGTGAGTCTCACTTTCAGATCGCATATATGCCCTAAGACTCAGTTTCCTTGGTTTGGGACCACTTTGCTTTAATTCCCTCCTCCACTGCTAACGCTTTCATTCTTCTGTGTTTGTTCTGATACAGAGACT